CTTAGCTAAATATATTACAATAAATTCACATCCATGTTTCTGCAGGCTCCAAATGTCATCCTGTTGGGCAGCTTGTACCACTGGTAGTACAAATGGGTTGCAACACTTCTTTTGGTCTTTTTGCTAATAAAATTAATAAAAAATCTATAAATAGATAACATCTGGTTAGTCTTTGGATTTGAATAATTACTGCTACAATATAAACTTTTATAATATGTATTTGTAATAATAATATATAATTCGTTTATTATCAACAAATTCATTTTTAAGTAGTTTGTGCCTATAGCCTTTCTTCATGGGTTATTCTCTAAATTTTAACATGAAAATTTAGAAGTATTCCATTGTTGGTATATATGTGTGTTTATAACTGCTATACTAGCAAGTTCCTGGTGGTCTAGTGGCTAGGATACAACTGTTCTTCCACAAATTAGCTATATTACAAGTTTTAATATCATTTTAGTGTTTTCCTTAAGGGACTGTAATTCAATGCCATCTGATGTACTACATTACTGCTTTTCTGTGATTACAGAGACTCCCTGAGAAGTGGTACAAACCTACCCAATGGGACAGTTGTGTGTGTAACATTGGTGATTAAAGCTGGAAGGAAGGATCAAATTCAACTCAGAGCTGCCCAGCAGCTAAACTTATGAGTTATGGTCCCATCATGAGCATTTTAAGGTAACTTCATATGTGTTGATAGGGAAAGAACTCTAAGACCTAACTGTGAATAAAACAATGCACAGAAAAGTGTATAGTGCTGCTGTGCATGAAAAACAATGCACCTTTGGCTTCTTTGTTGGATGAAAACAGTCATCACTGAAAGTTCACCCAGGAAACTAATCCCAGAAGCTATGCATCTGGAGGGTGAGAGGGAACCAGGACATTAGAGGTGTGAGAGGAACCAGTGGCTACTGTTTTATACTTTCAGATATGAATCTGAAAAATCTGTGATCTGTTTACAGTTCAGTGAACACTGTAAACAGTGCTCCTGTACAAAAGTCATTAAATGCTGCTGAAAGAAAGAAACTGTGTAGGATGTTTTCCCTCTTACTCATTCCTGTCTTTGACCCACACCCCACACCCCTCTTCCTGGTGTTGTCCAATTGCAGACAGTTTTAGGATTCCCATGGGAAATAGCAGACAGCTTTTTTTTTTTTTTAATCTTTTAAATGTCTTTTTTTTTTCTTTCTTTCTTTTTATTTTTCCGAACTAGGGACTGAACTCAGGCCCTTGCATTTGCCAGGCAAGAGCTTATTCTACTGAGCCATCTCCCCAGCCCCTTAAATGTCATTTTTAAGTAACACTTCAAAATTATCAATTGACAGTCAAAATAAACTCCTCCTTACTCTTCACAGTTTTCAAAGCATTTTCAAACACATGCTCTAATCAGATCCTTGTAACAACATTGATTTACATCTAAACTCATTTTATAGAGAAGAAAACTGCAATTGTGAGAAATTAAGAGACCTGCCCAAGGTCATTGCTCTGGAAACAGTTGAGCTGATCTAGACTTTCTGACTAAGAAGCCACGTTTCTTCTGAGGCTGCCCGGAGGACAGCTCCCTCTTTTGGAGTCACTTTCTAGTTCCAGAAAAATGAAAAGAGAACAAGAGGGACAGAACGACCTTCACAGATTTTATTTTGATCCTATGATATTTTGTGACAGACTGATGTAAGTATGGGCCAGGCTAGGTCTGAGTCCCAGGGAATGGTTTTGGACTAGCAAAGAGGGAAAAACATTCAACTTCTGTTTTCACTGTTATACTCGCCCAGAAAGGGGTGGGGGGAGAAAGAGGAAGGAAAAATGTCTTTCACTGGTGTAGAGAGAACCCTGCCAGTAAACCTTCAATGTGCCAAAGACATCCCTTCAAGTCCCATTAACACTGTGATACCAAACCAGAGAGGCACTCAACACTTAGTACTAGGGCTGACATCTTGGCAACCCTTGAAAGCAAGATTGTGTTTCTATTAACCAGCCACTGGGTAGGATATTTGAAGATGGAGAGGCCCTGGAAAGGAACCAGAGTGTGGGAGGATTTTGCTCTTGAGGACTGTATTGACTGATACCCTGGGTATGCAACACAAAAATTTCCTGATGTAAGATTTTTCTCCTGTTCCATCTCTCAACCTGCAAATCAATCCTAGAACACCAGATTATGTGTTTCTCCTAGATAAAGAAAGAACTAAAAACAAAGAGAAAAAAATGCACCTTTGATGACTGGATTCTGGATCCACTGTCCTGGCTAAATGGAAGCTCAGAAATCAATAGCAGCAGCATCAATAGCAAGCACATAAATTTTGCTCACATGCCTGTAGTTGAAGATTCTTATTCTCTCTCTCTCTCTCTCTCTCTCTCTCTCTCTCTCTCTCTC